GGGGCGGCAGTTGGCCGCACTGGTCAGGGTGCTGGAGGAGGCCTTACCCGAAGTCTGTTTACAAGAGTGTGTGCACGCAGTTTTCTTAAATGTAAAACTTCCAACAGACAGATCTGCAGTATGTCCATCAATACTTAACAAACTCATAAATACATATTTTTAAATCTCAATTTCATTTTTCCACTTGAAATTTCATGCCCACGTTCACCCAGCCTCTCACTCCAGGCACACCCGGCTGCTCAATCGATTTTCTGCCCAGCATGAGACTTCTCACCCCACCCTACTGCTGGGGTCCGCCCCATGGACTTCCCGGCCCTGGCTTTAGGGGAGAGGTCGGAGTGGGAGGAAAGTCTACGACGAGCCATTTCACTCACAGACCCTTTCTCCCAAAGGGGTCAGAGCCAGCCTGTCATTTGAAATGCAAAATACTTTTTGGCATGTGATCCTGTTTTGCTTAATCCTCAAAGGCTTTTAGCATCTTCTCTTTATCCCTCATTTTCCAAAATTTCATTAGAGCAGGTCCCTCTGTTGAGGCTTGTAGTCACTGAGCCAAGTATCAGGAGGGTTTTCCACCTAAAAATTCAGCCTGTCACTTGGGGACTCGCTGTGTTTGATCATTCATGCCTCCTACGTGACCCATATTCTCCACTTAGGAGCAATAGGGCTTCTTCAGTTAATCCTGTAAATGTCTCACCTTTGTTCTTGTCCGTTTTATAAACAAATATTTATCTACTTATCTGGGGCAAATTTTCTCGCTGTCTTCTAATTCTTCTATTGCTTTTTCTTTTTATATTTCAGCTTTCATACTTATAATGTCAAGGAGTTTCTCCTCATTTTCCTAAACTTCCTTTTTTTCTTTCTTTCTTTATTTTTTTTTTTTAAGCAAACCATTTTTATTTCCTGGTTGTGATATACTTTCTTCTTTGGAGGATGTTAATGACAGAGTTTTGGTGTTTTCTTCTGTTCACTGCATTTTTGTTTTTGTTTTTTCCATTTTTTAAATTGATTTTAGAGAGAGAGGAAAGGGGGCGGAGGGGGAGGAAGAGAGAGAGAGAGAGAGAGAGAGGGAGAGAGAGACACTGATTTGTTGCTCCACTTGTTCATGCATTCATTGGCTGCTTCCTGTATGTGCCTGACCTGGGATGGAACTGCAACCATGGCGTCTCGGGGTGATGCTCTAACCACTAAGTGCCCAGTCAGGGCCGCATTTGCTCTAGTTCCTCATAATTCCTCTCTTTGTTCGCTTTTTGCCTGACCTTCAAGTTGGAAGCTTATCTCAAATGTCTTGTGAAATATCTTTTAAAATAAAATCTGAGTAGGGTTTTTTTCTGTAATTTACAGGCCACTAAAGACCCCATACCTGCCCACCATGCACACTCCCCAATTTAAAGCCACATATGCCCACCGATTGCATCGTGTCCCCCCCAAATTCTGTGAAAGAGGCATTCTTGATGTTGTGCAAAGTAGGAACAGACACACAGAGAGGGTTAAATGATGGGCATCTACACAAATCCATGGAGTGACTCTACCCCATGATCACCCCTCAAGTGAAGTGCTTTCTCTTTCCTTCAATAAAGAAAGCCTTTCCATGCTCAGGGAATCCTGGGAAGAAGCTCCCACACCCCCTTCCTGAAGTGGACACCTGATTTCTGCCAGCTCACCACCCTTCCTTCTCCTTCCTGAGGACTAGGTCCACGTGGATGACCTCACTTCCCGCATCACATCAGTCAGAGTACTCCATTCTCCCTGATTGACTCAAGAATCAGCATGTGACCCATGCTCAACCAATCAGAATCTTCCCTGGGACATTCTACCAGCAGTATTTGGCTTGAAGAATTCTCTTTCTAAGTTGTCAGTTCATAAGCCTTGGGTGACTGGTGGCCACATAGAGAGGGTCAGAGAGATGGAAAGAAAGGGGCCTAACAATAATGCTTGAGCTCCCAGATCCAGCCATTCCTGAACTGAGGTATTCCTTGATTTCCCAATTGCACGAGAGAATAGATTCCCTTTTAAAAAATTTTATTTTTAAAAATATATTTTTATTGATTTCAGAGAGGAAGGGAGAGGGGGAGAGAGAGAGAGAGATAGAAGCATCAATGACAAGAGAGAATCATTGATTGGCTGCCTCCTGCACACCCCCTACTGGGATCAAGCCCACAACCCAGGCATGTGCTCTTGACTGGAATTGAATCTGGGACCCTCAGTCTGCCGGCAGACACTCCATCCACTGAGCCAACCCGGTCAGGGCCAGACTCCCTTTTTAAAGCCCAGGCGAGCTAAGTTTCTGTCACTTGCAGCCCAGATGCTCTGGAATCACCGCCCAGACTCTATTCCTGGCCTAAGCCCTCCTGGGCCCACCTGCGATGAGGAGGGAAGCTGGGGTGAGAAAATAGAATTGCCTTTGGGAACAGGCAGTGGTGCTTTTGGAAAAGCACTTCTAACTCATGGGGTAACCCGCCCCTCTCCCCCTCCTGGCTGTCCAACTTCGGAGGCTGTGCACCTGAAGGGTGGGGGAGGGTGGGGGAGCCCGGGGCAGCGGGTGGGGGATGGGCAGGCTTAGCCGCTCTCCACTGCTGATGGTAGCTAGCTAATTTTCTTCCCGACGAGACCAGAGCTGCCCTTCACCTCCAGTCCCCATTAACTGCCGCGCGCTTTGTCAGCATGTTTATGACAAATTAATTACACGGAGAGAAGTCTCGCGGAGCAGCTCTGGTGTGGGGGCCCGGGCTGGGCTCTGAGGTGCTTTCTGATCGTGCTGACAAGGCCCTGGTTAACCACAGACCTCGGGCCAACGTGGCGGCAAGCTGTGGGTGTGCAGCTCACCACGGAGGGCAGCCGGAGCCAGGAGCAATGAGCCGAAGCCCATGTCCAGCCCCTATTCCTGGCGGCATGTTTGCAAACCGGATAGCCAATGCGAGAGTGATTTGGGGCCCAGGCCACCATGCTGGCCAAGATAACTTTGTCCCCGGAAGGCCGGGCAGCGCCAGCCCGTGGGAAAGGCCCCAGGCCCTAGCGAACCCAGGACCTGCCCGTCTCCCTGGAATCCGTGCGAGGGTGGCTGGGCTCGCTCAGAGCGCGGTGTCCCGCCCCAGTCCCAGGCGCACGTGGTCCGCTCGTTTCCTTCCCCCCAACCACCCCGAGAAGGTCAGGCCTTAGTGAGGAGAGCGTGGGACCCGATGCAAAGTGGTCCAGCAGGCTGCGGGGAGTGCGGCCTGGGCCCTGCTGGCTGCCGGAGCACCCCTCCCATCAGCCCACTGCTCTCTGCACCCGAGGGTCCTGGGGGTCGCACCGCAGACCCAGCCTTGACCCAGCCCCCGTGCTCACTCATGCTGGCCACGGGCAGGAGGCTAGGAGGTCAGCAGTGACGTGTATGGGACACAACTGGACAGTGCGGGGTCGTGGCGCCGCTGGCTCCCTCCCGGCTTGTCCGCCTTCGGCTGTTGGTTCTGAACCCCACCTCCCCCCGGACCCTGTGCTGGGGCCAGTCCACTCAGGGGCTGTCCTCTGGGGCCTCTGGATCCCGGTCGTGAAGAGTCATGGCTTCCAGGTGGGAGGTGAACGTGGACATGTCGGGGTCAGCACGACCAGCGCCATCTGGGAACTTGCCTCTGGGCTCCGCAGCTCTGGACCCGGGCGCTGGGAAGAGACGCCGCCAGAGCGCGTGAGCCGCCTCGCCTCAGTGACCAGGCGGTTTGGTTCACTGGGGTCCACGACAGTAGCTCCCTGCTTCCCCAGCCCCTGCTCTGTCCCGACCTGTATCCATGGAGACTCTGAAGGCGCAGCTCATGGCCTGCCCCTCCAGGGACCAGCTCACTTCAGCTACGTCCTGACCTTTCCTCGGGGCTTCCTGGTGCAAAGAGACGCCCCCCCCTGCTCCCCCATCAGGACTCTCTCTCTTGCTCCCTGGACAGGTCCCCCTTGTTCGCACCTCAGGGCCTTTGCACTGGCTGTTGCCTCCACCTGCAATGCTGCCCTCAGATCTTTGCGTGGCTGGCGCAGGTGCCCCTCCTCCCAGAGCCTGTCCCGCCTGGCGCAGGCGCCCCTCCCATCATGAGGCTGCCGCCTCCGTGTGCCCCGCGCCGGGGTTGTTTTGTACAGCGCCCGTCTCTCTTGGAAACGCTTGCTTGCTTGCTTTGTGAGTTGCCCCTGTTCCTCCTGGCCCCTGATCCCCGTGAGCAGAATCATTTATCTGTTTTGCTCGTTACTGTGCCTCCGGGAGACGGGGCTAGGACCCGACTGCCTGAATGGCCGCTGCCTCCTCCTCTCGGAAAGATGGACAAGGGTGGCTATACCACTGCTTCTTGAGAAGAACAGGGGGCTGAGTGGCTAAGGCCAGGCAGGTGAGGACAGGGGCGGGGACGTGTTCTGGAAGGCTCCAAGGAGGGCGGCATCACAGGCGTGGGGCTGAGGAGGTCCTCCCTTCCCAGGCGGAGAAACAGGCTCAGCGCCCAGGGATGGGCTAGGTCTCGGGCTAGCCTCCTCTAACAGCCTC